CCTGGACTTCAGCAGTCTTCATGCCTCACATCCTAAGTAGAAGAGACCATGGTTTGCACCTCCATGGTCCACTGGTCTATCTGCTTGGCACAGCCAACACCGAGGTTAACATTAAGCCTGCCTGTTACCTAACTCTTTTGTGTCACTGCACATTGTCTGTCAGCCACTGTGTCACAGGGAATGTCATGATGAGTCAGGATGATACCATCACATGCTACAGGCCTGTTAGGGACATCCAGACTGCTGGGGAGACTTGCTTGCCAGCAACCAGAAGTCTCCTGTTTTCAACTCAACCCAAACTATCTGGATGATGCTGAGTCTATATATCCACTCCTCTTTTGATTCTGCAGCACATGGAAGTTATAATGTGGAACTTCCAGTGGAACTGCCTTAAAAGCTGCCAGAATCTTTGCAGAGGAGTACATGTGTAGGCCTCTGCCCTCTGACCTATGCAGCTGTGTTGATTGGATCACTGGTGGTGTTGCCCTTGGGACATGCACCATAGGCAGGGCCAGGAACACAGACTACTTCCAAAAAGATCAAAAACAGGCAGCTTGGTTCAAAACCACGGGGACCCAGTCCTTCCTCTGTTTTCAGTACCAGCCCCTCTTCATCTGTTGGTTTCTTCCTTTGCCTCCACTGCTGCCTGGTGTCTCGTGGCATTGCTCAAGGCTGAGATCTGGCTACATCTGCATTGGCCTGAACCACTGTAGGCACCCCTGACCCCAACCCATAGCTTCTCTCCCCTCCACAACCAGTTGCTCCTCTGTCTCGTTGGTCACCCAGGTTGTTCTATTTTGAACCTGATGCTTTGCCAGTCTCCAGACCACCTGCATGTGTTATCTTATTTCATCCTCATGCCAGCAATCTGAGGAAACTGAGGTGCCAACAAGTGTCATACATCAGCCAGAGTCATACTGCTATGCTAGTAAGTGGCAGAGTTGCAAAGGGGATCTGGCCTCTGTGAACATAACATCTGGAGTTCCCCTCTGCCACAGCAGTGCTACCACAGTGCATTCTCCCTGAGGGGCAGGCCAGTGGGTGATGCCACTTCCCTTCTAAGATTGTTGTGATGATTGAGCTAATTTTTACAAAGCATTGTGATGGTGACTGCCTGACACACATTGAATGCTCAGTAACAGAAATGGCCATTACAAGTTAGCCGTATTGGCACACCCCTGTGATCTCAGCACTTGAGAGGATCATAATTTGGAGGCCAGCCTTGACCCCATAGTAAAACAAGAAAAAAAGCTGATTGCTACTAATCTTTTTTTGTTTAAGATAGTGTCATGTCCTGTGGCCCAAGCTCTCTTTGTAGCCCAGGCTGGCCTCCAGTTCAAAATCCCCCTGCCTCAGCATCCCAAAATCTAGGATCATGGCCAGGTAGTGATAGTGCTTAGCACTCCTCCCAGTACTCAGGAGGCAGAGGCAGGTGGATTCTGCGTTCAAGGACAGCCTGGTCTACAGAGCGAGTTCCAGGACAGTCAGGGCTACACAGAGAAACTGGAGGGGTGGGGGGTTGGGAGGAAGTTCTAGGATCACAGGTGTGCACTGCTATGCCAACTACTAATGCTTCTCCAAGTACTCCTTCCGCAAACCAAAGCCCCACTCCCTGTGTGCCTCAAACTGCTGTCAGCTCCTCTGTCTGAGTTGTCCAATCCCAGGAAGATGGTACAAGTTTTCTACACTGCAGTGGTCCCTAGCTATGGCACAGGTATATGGTGGTAGAAGGTGTCTGGAGCTCCGTACAGTGCTGTGACAATTGAGAAAGAAGCTGGATCTGGTCTGAGTGGTGCCAATATTTGTCCTTGGCCCACAGGTATCCTGGGTCCCAACAAGGGGACCTGTCAACAGCTTTGGAATTTACCAGCCAGGACCCTGCAGCCTCGCATGACTGCATTTGCTAGAGTTTGTGGATGCTGAATCAAGAAGAACCAAAAGCTTGGATTTAAATCACCATGATCCCATTTTAGGGTGACAGTAAACCTCTCATATATACCCCAATGACATAGATCATTTGACATGGCCAGCTGTTTTAAAAAAAAAAAAAATAGAACAATAGCGTTGGAGAGATGGCTCAGCAGAGGACCCAAGTCTAGTCCCAGGGTATCTGTGGACACTAGGAATCCACATGGTGCACAGACATATGTACAGATAAAACACCTGTACACATGAAATAAAATAAATATGTATAAGCAATAATAATTGGGATTTGGTGGTACATACCTGTAATCCCAGCACTCAGGAAATGGAAGCAGGAAGTTTATCCTGAGCTATGTAGAGAATTGGAGGCTAGCCTGGCCTACATTAGACCCTGTCTAAATAAATAAAATGTAACAGTAGAGCTGAGGGACTAGCTCCATGGTAGAGCACTTGCCTTGCGTGGTCAAGGTCCTGTGTTCAATTTCTAGTACCACAAAGAAAAACCAAGCCGTAGAAATGAGCACCCAGAGATCTTTTTGGGTCTTCTGGGACAGACTTACTTCCCCAATTCCTCATCACTGCTAAGCAAAGGAATCAGCCTTCCACCAATCCCCCTGAATCAGACCGGCTGCTAGTGGCTCCACCATAGAGGATTGTGCCCTCTCTACCAGCAGAGGATGTGGGCCAAGGCCTTGTTTTATGGTAGAGTACTTGCTCAGCATGCATGAGGCCCATGTTGGTCCCCAGTATTGCAAAGAATAAAATTTAAGATGGATCCTGGTAAGGTAGCTTGTGCTTGCAGCCTTGGCACTTTGTAGGCAGAAGCAGAAAGATCAGGGTGTTCAAGGCTATATAGGAAGGTCAAAGCTAGCCGGAGCTGCATGAGAATGTTCAAAAAATAAAATCACCAGTTGCCTAGAATTACACATTTAAAGGGTTAAAATTGGAAGCTGGGGTATAACTGCTAAGTCTGGAAAGTGCTGACCACAAGAATGAGGACCTGGCCACTTGTGGTGGCACACGTGAATAAACTTTGCTCAAGGAGGCTAAACAGTGGTGGCACATTGCATTTAATCCCAGCACTGGGGAGGCAGAGGCAGGTGGATCTCTGATCTTGCGGCCAGCCTTGTCTACAGAGCTAGTTCCAGACAGTCAGGACTACACAGAGAAACTCACAGGGTGTGTGGGGGGGGGGGGGGACTTGCTCAAGAAGGCAGAGGCAGGGTCACAAGTTCAAGGTCAGATTGGGCTACACATGTAAAGAATGAAGACCTGAATTCAGATCCCCAGCAGCCAGCAAAGCCCAGGCTGGGTTGTATACAAACACTGGACAAAGACAGGAAGATGGTTTTTGGCCAGCCAGTTAGCCAAATCAGCAAGCCCCACGGTAAGTGAGATACCTAGTATGGGGAGAAACTGGGGAAGGCGCCCCTCGTCAGCCTCTGGCATACACACAAAAAAGGGTTAAGATGGCATGTTTTATGTTGTTACCACAGTGAGGAAAAAACTATTGTGTTTTCAAGTAAAAGGATATAATACTATTAAATCTAAACTAGGAACATTGAACAGTTTATAATTCTGATGTACTGTATTAATAAGCAAGTATTTAAACTAGGAACCATTAAAATTAACGTTAACTTTGACTTAGTTTTACACTAATAATATTTATTTAATAATAAAGCATTTTAAAGAACCAGCATAAAAATAGAAAGCACAACAGGAAGCAGTGCTGAGGACCTAAGTGTTCCAGATAGTGTGCTGCAGTACTGAGAGAAGATCTGAGTTGGGCCAGTAGACAAAAATGATTCATAAAAGAGCAAAGACCCTAGTAAGCAAGCAAGCACACTGAAAGAAATACCAAGGTAACATTAAGCCTGGCATGGTGGTACATACCTATAATCCAGCACTTGGGAAGCTGAAGCAGGAGGATGGTGATTTTGAGACCAGCCTGGGCTGCATAAGCAAGATCCTGTTCCAAAAACAACAACAATAAAAACAACAAAAGAGGGAGGAGGACCTCCCCCTATCAGTGGACTGGGAAAGGGACATGGGAAAAGAGGGAGGACAGGACTAGGAGGGGATGGGGGCCTACAGCCGGGATACAAAGTGAATAAATTGTAACAAATTAAAAAATAATAACAAAAGTAAAAGTAACTGAATCTAGATCAGATACTGCTAGGTTCATTAGCCAAACTCAAGCCTCTGTTTGTTTGTTTGTTTGTTTGTTTGTGGCATGGTCTTACTGTGTATCCCTGGCTGATCTGATACTCCTAGAGTACCGGGATTAAAGGCATGTGCCACCGTGCCCTGCTGTGTGTACTTGCTCTCCTCCCTTCCCCTTTCCTTCTCTTCTTCCTTCCTTTCTCTTCTACCATTTAGAGTCTGGGGATCAAACTCTGGTCCTTAGGCATGGCTACAAACTCATTTCCGGAAAGCTGAACCAATCTCACCAGGCTTCTTCTGTTGTTTTTGGTGGGGGTCGGGGAGGCTGTTAAATGCATTCTCACACCTGTAGGCCTGTCTGTTCTAGAACTTACCATGCTCACCAGGCTGGCCTGAAACTCTTCCTTTGCCTCCCAGGCGCTTGAATTAAAGGTATACACCAGCACACCCAGCTCCTCTTTTGTTGTTTGTTTGTTTGTTTGTTTGTTTGTTTGTTGAGGCAGGAACTCTCACACACCTAGGCTGGCCTTAGACTCCCAGTGTAGTAGAGGGCAACCTGAGAGTGGAGATTTTAAGATCAGGGGTTAACGTGTGTGTCACTGTGACAGTTTTAGGTAGTAGTGCTGGTCTTTGAGCATGTTAGCAAACACTACCCCAACTGACAAGTGTTTGTATAACTTATTAAAGAAAATGAATGCATAAATAAACAATACCTGAAAATAAGGAAGGCGGTTACTTTATATGAATCACATGGATTTGGTAATAAGATTAATATTGCTAATATTTTAAAAGCTATAATCTTCGTACTCCTGAGATCTGGGGCTCCTAAAAGAACAGGTCCAAGTTAGGAGAGCAGTGGTCTTGCTGGAAGTGACCTGCCAAGTGACCCCTCAGTGGCTTCTTTTTCCTCACAGCTCTGATCGAGTCCCTCAACCAGAAACCACAGTCTGCTGGTGATCAACCCCAACCCACAGACACAAGCCACACCACCCACAGGAAGGCAGGTGGGACCGAAAGCCCCTCAGCCAACGGCGAGGCAGGAGGAGGAGAGAGCACCAAGGGCTATACCTCAGAGCAGGTGGCAGCTGTGAAAAGGTAGAGGCCATGGGGTGGTGGGAACTGAAGAGGGCCGGGGAAGCCTCTCTTACTTCATCCAGTGGCCTGGGAAGGTCTTGGAAGATGGAGGAAGTCCAGCTTTGTTTCCCACAGGGTGGGAGCCAGGGCCTCACTGCCCACCCCCTACTGTTGACAGACCAAAGACATTGCCAACCCATGCCTTCCTCTGCCCTTGGCCAGCAGCCCTAAGCCTCCCACAGCTCTGTCGCACAAAGACACCACAATCTTGCCCCTACCCCCAACACCAACAAAGACCTTTTTAGACCAGAGCCTGTGGGCAAGAGACAGAGCTTTGCCACCTAGGTGGAACAGCCCAGCAGAGTGAAGCTCTCCCAGGCCTGATACCACTAGCCAGGATCACTCAGGACTAAACTCTCCCAGCCATCTTCTCTTCCACCATTTAGCCTCAGAATCCTTCTGAGGCCAAGCTAACACCTCCTGGCAAGCAAGATGACTATGACCAAATGTGACCAAGTAGTTTGTCATAACCAGACACAGTTTCAACCATACACACCTAATAGCTATGGTGATAGAAGCAGACTTGAAGGGAAGAGAAGTCCTAGAGCACCCCCATGAATGTGAGTCCTCCAAGGCCCAGAAAGGGAGGTCAATTACAACAGAAACAGCCTTTCTTTAGGGTCCTGTGGTTTGAGTGAGCAGACACCTGCCATTGCCATCAGCAGGACACCTCTTCTCCAGTTAAAAGACACAGTACTTCCAAGTCAGCTTCCAGTGAAGGAGGCGGTAGAGAGGAGCAGATGCTAGCCAAAGACAGCAGCCACCTCTCTCAAGTCCTAAGTATGTTCATGGTGTTTCCAGCAGGCCCTGCCCAGCTCTCCAAGCCAAGGAGCTCCCTGTGGTTCCCTTGCCCCTCAAGTCAGGCAGCTGACCCAAGTCTGGTCCCCACTTCTGCCATGAGCGGAGTGCCTCATACTGCTTGTTCTCTCACCTCACCTCAGACACGCTGTCACACTCTTCTCTCTGTTCCAGGGTCAAGCAGTGTAAAGATTACTATGAGATCCTGGGGGTAAGCAGAAGTGCCTCCGATGAGGACCTGAAGAAGGCCTACCGCAAACTGGCTCTCAGGTTCCATCCAGACAAGAACCACGCGCCTGGTGCCACCGAAGCTTTCAAAGGCAGGCCAGCACTGGGGTGTTTGGGGTTTTGTGTGTTAGTTTGCTTGCTTGTTACCTGTGTAGATTGGGCTTGACTAGAACTCAAGAAGGTGCCTCTACCCTCTGGCCTTTGCCTCTGCCTCTGTCAAGCTGAGATTAAAGGTGTGAACCACCAAGAACCACCAGTTCTTTTGTGTGAGATTAAAGGTGTGAACCACCCAGTCATTTTGGTGCATTTATCTCCTGTCTTAGAATACAGGGCCAAGGTGGCTTTCCCAGGAAGTTGGGACAGAAGAATGTGGTCTCAACTGTAATTGTACAGAACTGTTCCCTGAGAAGGTTCCAGTAGCCACCTCTAGCCATATGGACTAGCAATGCCCACTCTGCCGCCTCTTCATTTTCAGGGTTACAATAGAGGTGCCAGAGGATTCTAGTGGCTTCTGCAGGGTCAACCTGGCACAGGAGCAGACTCCTACCTTGACCATCTGGCAACAGTCCCTGTACTGCGGGACAGGGAACCCCTTACTCGGAGGGCTTCTTCAGGATAAGCGGCCAGCTTTTCCAGCTTCCCACAGCCTGTCCCAGCCCTCCGCTAGGGACAAAGCATCTTCTGATCTCACAGCCTATTGATTTGTGGAGTGGGTGTGTCAACCTCTGGCTAAAATCATAAGCATTTAGATTTTCATCTTTCCTCTATTTGGCACTGATGTGCACTGCTTTCATGCCAGCCCTGTGTTCCAAGCCTTGCATTTTCTTGGTCCCTAGGTATTGTTCCCTTTGGGGGATTCTGTGGGTGACTGGGTGCCTTGTTATGCAGTACTGGATTGAGTAGGAACTTGTGACAGAATGGTACAGCCTTGTCAGATGTGAAAGGAGGGTTTCATCCTCCCTCCCAGGGGCTACCAGTGCTAAAAAACAAGCCTACAGCCCACTGCTGTGAGTGAGGGGTAAAAAGCGAGGCAGGCCCTGGGAGGCACTAGCTTTCTGCCCTGGGCACTCTGGTGAGGAGGCCCCAGTGCCAGATAGAAAACAGCAGCTGGAGGCTGGGCCCTGGAGACAGCAGACTCTTCCAAGCCACACACCAGAGCGGGGAGTCGCCACCAGAAGCAGTGTCTGCTGCTGTCCCGTTCACAAGGGCTTCGTGTGTCTGTTATTTTTAGTTGCACTATGACTTCAGGATTATATTACCCTGTCTCCCCACGAGATGAAAATGTGCAAGGGGCATTTCTGTAATATCAGTGAAAGAACTGCAACAGAACACATCTGAAGCAAGTGTGTAGGATCACGCCTACAACCCCACCTTAGAGACAGAAAGATTAAAAATTGGAGGGCAACCTGGGCTACTTAGCAAGTTCCTGTACTGTTCTGGCAGTTTAGGTGATATAACAGGGACCCTAATCAAAAATTAAATTAAATTTTAAAAAGCCTCTTCTTACAGCCCAGACTGAGGCCTTGCTTAGGGGCCTTGCTCTTGATTACCTGCTCTCTGACACTTGCCCAACAGGTGATTGCCTTTGCCCTTAAGTCCCTCTTTCCCTGAGACCTGAAAGAAGCAAACTCGTTCTTAAGGCCTGATCTCTTCTCCCCTTCCAGCCATCGGCACAGCATATGCGGTACTGAGCAACCCAGAGAAAAGGAAGCAGTACGATCAGTTTGGTGATGACAAGAGCCAGGCTACCCGGCACGGCCACAGCCACGGGGACTTCCACAGAGGCTTTGAAGCAGACATCTCCCCTGAAGACCTTTTTAACATGTTCTTTGGTGGTGGCTTCCCTTCCAGTAAGTCCACAATCATCTCTCTCTGGTGGTGATAATGAGGTTTGAACGCTACAGCCCCTAACTCAGTGCTTCCATATTTCAGGTAACGTCCACGTCTACAGTAATGGCCGAATGCGATACACCTACCAGCAAAGGCAGGACCGCAGGGAAAACCAGGGTGACGTGAGTTACAAGGGCTGAGCAGCACACTAGGTCCTCCAGGGGATGAACCCTGAAGGAGGAAGTCATGATCCACGTATATCCTCAACATTCTTAGCCTAGGAGCCATCTTTGCTCCTTCCCAGTGCCATTCTGCCTAGGGACGCCAGAGGGAGCCACACTCCCAGGTTGCATAATACTTTTGCTTCAGTTGGGGAGTGTACAACACAAACTTCTCCAGCTCCCAGCAGCTCTAGTGCAATAGCTCTTATGGAGCCCATTTGTTCTTAACACTGAGGTAACATTTTCTGAACAATGGAGAATTAAAACATCGTGAGAGATTTTAAAAGGCCTGCGTGGGTATTCAGTTTTCTAGAACAGTGAGTAAAAGCTTTATTACCAAGCAGTCCTTCAGACACATTTGGGACACATGGATCAACACAGCCATATGGCTAGGACCTGAACACTGCCAACAGCTAGGGCAGAGCATTTAACAGAGGGATACACACTTGAGCTTGCTCTCCCTCCCCCTCTCTCCTGTTGTTTTACTCCCTTCATTTCTCTCTCCTCCTGTCCCTCTCTCCATTTCTTCCCTCCTTCCTCTCTCTCCTTGGACTTACCATGCAGTTGAAAAAAACCTTGAGTTCCTGCTGTCCCTGTTTCCACCTTCTAAATACTGGAGTTAAACTTGAGTCACCATGCTATCCATTTCATTGGAGTGGTCTTGGTTTTGGCTTGGTTTTGGTTTTTGTTTTTGAGACAGAGTCTCACTGTGTAGCTCTAGAATTTGCTCTGTAGACTGGTCTGGAACTTGGGAATCTGCTTGCTCCTGAGTGCTAGAACTAAAGGTGTGTGTCACCATACCCAGCACTGTTTTTTTGTTGAGACAGTATAACCCTGGCTGATCTGGAACACCAACTGTCAACCATTCTCCTGCCCCTGCCTCCATCTATTTACATCTAACATACAGAAGAGTTATTGCCACAGACAGCATACAGCAGAGTTTTAAATCACAGATTTTTGGATAATGAATTTATTTCTGGTTGTCTTGTTTTTGTTCTAATAATCACACCCAAAGTTTTGTGGGTACTAGGAAAGCTCCATACCACAGACTACATCCCAACCCTTTAATTAAATGCTTTTCTTATCAACAATATATTTGTGTGACTCAGAATTCTAAAAGCAGTGTATTGTGAAAGCCCGTCACCCAGGCCTGCCTGTGTTCTCCTGGAGACTCTACCTCTACTCCTTCCTTGCTGCTCTCTTGCAGATCTGCAGGTACCATATGCTCCCAATGGTTGCTTTGTCATTTTTCAGGAAAAGCTGTCAAATGGAGGAGCTTCTGCCCTAGGGGATACCTTTGGGAGGAAAGGGAGGCCACCTAAGTGCCATTATGCTAGGAAACTCTGATCATTGGCTCTCTTCCCTTCAGGGTGGCCTAGGAGTATTTGTCCAGCTGATGCCCATCCTCATCCTCATCCTCGTGTCAGCACTCAGCCAGCTCATGGTGTCCAGTCCACCGTACAGTCTGAGCCTGAGACCGTGAGTACAACCCCCCTGGACAGGCCCCACGATAGGGAGCCTCAGTCCCCACCAGAGCTCTGCCTTCCCATCCTCATCTAGCAAATGCCCAACCATACTACAGAAAGCTGACTTAGGTAGAAAAAAAGCATACTGTCCCTGAGCCGAGCACCTTAGATGTTTGAGGATTGGAGGCCCCTCAGAAGATAAGCTCCAGGTATTTTGTTGAGGCAACAACACATATACGTGTCCTGCGTGATTTCAGAAATGTGACTCCCCAGCAGCATCCCCACCCTGAGATGTCCTCTGCTCTTAAAATCTGTTTGATGCCCTGAGAAAGAACAGAGTTTAGTCAGTCAGAAGAAGGTGGCTTTGCATCCTAGCTTCTGCATTGAGAGCTATGACTCCAGATGTGTTATGTAACCTTGGTTTCCTCCTTTGTAAAATGGGAACAATAGCATCTACCTCCTTGTAAGAATTGAGTGACGTGTGTAAGATGTCCAGCTCATTGGAAATTCTCAGAAGTGTTTGTTGAGTAGATACCTTCTCAGCTACCAGTGGTTAGCAGGGTAAGGTAGTTGGCCCTCTAGGGCGTCACACAGTGCCTCTCTTTCCGAGTGCCTGGAACAGTGGGTTCTCAGCTTCCGCTTCATCCTGCTACTGCCTGCAGACCCAGCAGGCTTCCTCAGCCAGCAGGGGACAGAGCTGGCCTCTGCTCCTACAGCAACCCCACTTGTCTGGAGCCAGATGTGACTCCTCTCCAACAGCTAGAGAGATAAAGAAAGCAGTATGCTGGGGCTGCCCTCTCTGGAGCAGTGACTCCTGACTGTTGGAGCTTCTGCTGCTGCCTGCAAGTCCCTGTGACTATACATTTTTCCTGACATTCTGTTCCTTTTGGTTCTTTTTTCCCTGTGTGGTTGGGAATGAACTCCTAACTCATGCTGACATACATTCTGTTAGAGACACAGCTCTGACCTCTCATTTTGACCCAAGACTTGTGGCCCTAGGAATCTATGAGCGTAGAGGCATAGAAGGCAGAGACCAGCTTTCCAGACCAGGGTCTGTCCTCAGAATGGGCTTCTCTCCCCACATGCCCCGTTCTCAGTGGAACGCCTAAGGAAGGGGTTGACATAGGCTGGGCATTTGTGTGGCAGGATGCTCTGCCTTTGCCACAGACCTTCATTTTGGGGAGCCAGTGAGTTCCTGTTGTGGTGTGGGGGGGGGGTTGCTGTTCCTATGGCCTGTGTGGTACCTCCCACCACTGGGCCATCACCCTTCCAGCCACCCACTTTGAACCTGGTGTATTTTTGGTCAGGTCAGTGGGCCATGTCCACAAACGAGTTACTGACCACCTGAGTGTCGTGTACTACGTGTCAGACACCTTCTCTGAAGAGTACACAGGCTCCAGCCTCAAAACAGTTGAACGCAATGTGGAAGATGATTATATTGCCAACCTCCGAAACAACTGCTGGAAAGAAAAGCAACAGAGTGAGTGCACGTGTGTCTGTACATTTACTTGTGCGTGTGTATGCTTATGTGTGCACTAATAATGTATGTGTACCTGTGGATACACATGTGTGTTCATGAGCATGAGAGGGTATGGCCAGTAGTAGTATTTGGAGAGGGGTAACCAGAAACCATGTTTGAGAATAGAAAAACCCTTCTCTAGTGTTTTGTGGACCCAACAGCTGGCACTGCCCTGTGCCAACCACCTCCCTACCAAGATCTGAACTCCATTCCTGGATTCCTCTGGGGCTACAAACCCAGGGCCATCTGATGATTTTATTAAGATCCTCATGAGTCACTGGTGCCTATCATTGTAGTTGTTAGAGGTGAATATATAAGAAACAGATTAGAAACCCCTGGCTACCCACTGATCATGTATCCAGTCTATCTGTGAGACCCTGGTCCTGTCGTTCTGTCCCCTCCTGGGAAGTCAACTCTGCACTAACCCCTGGTCCTGTCTTCCTGTTCCCTCCTGGGAAGCCAGTTATTCCCCAACCCCTGGTCCTGTCTTCCTGTTCTAGGAAGACAGTTCTTCCCCTGCTCCTTCTCCTGCTCCTGTCCTGCCTTCTTATTTCCCCATGGACTTAGGCAGATAAACTCCGTGCAGTTCTGGGGCCCTGACCTTGCCCTGTTTCTTTGCAGAGGAAGGCTTGCTGTACCGGGCCCGATACTTTGGTGACACAGACATGTACCACAGAGCACAGAAGATGGGCACCCCAAGCTGCAGTCGTCTGTCAGAGGTGCAGGCTTCCCTGCATGGATAGTTCTGGGCCAGCCACACCACCCAGGTCCAAGTATGAGCCAGGACTGCAACTCCTGGCAGCCTTGGCCTTGGTCTTAAGCAGAGGAGGGAGGAAGAGAAGGAAGGAGAATGGGAAGGTGGGAGGGTGTGATGGAGGAAGGAAGAAAGCCTGGTAATGATGGCAGAAACGCCCTTCACCGTCCTGACACTTCCAACATCCTCCAGAGATGAGGCAGCTCTGGGCACCTTGGAAAACTGAGGCCGATGGCATTCCTCCAGTCACCCTGCCCTAGTGACCCTGTTCTTCCTTCCCCTCTCTAGGGCCAGGGGAGGGGAGGGTTGTACCCAAAAGCCAGACTGAGTAGGGACCTGTGGTTCCTTGACCCACTCCAATAAACAAGCCACCTCAGCCCTTTCCCAAGCTTGGCTTTTGTTGCCTGTGTATTTACATATTACTGGATCCAAATAGCCCCTTATATACAGTACCCCACTGGAGTCAGGAAAATTCATGGGGAATAAGTGGGCAGGAGTCCATCCCCCTCAGTCCTTCCAGGCAGGAGGAAATGGAGCAAGATGAACCAGTGGGCAGGAGAGGCCTTTGGGCCTGACCACTCCCTCTGGTGGCTGTGAGGCCCACGATCCAGTGCTCTGCACCTGGGAGTCTGGAAGCCACAGGCATCCGGCCCCACCCAGGCGTCTCTCCTGTGGTCTTGGGGAGGGGAACAAAAGATCACAAGTTCAGGATCAAAAACAGCCACTGAGCACAGGAGGGGTGAGGGAAAGTGAAAGTGCTAGTCACAGGCCCTTCCCCAGCATGTGGGTCACAGGCTCAGTTCCCAGTGCTTAGAGCTGGTAGCCTGGCTCAAGCCCAAAGGAGTGTGGGTAGGACAGAAGCTCTTTGCATTGGTACCCTACCCACCCCCTCCTTTGCCTGTCCCCTGTCACAGAGCCAGCCACAGACTGTTCCAAGGCCACTCGCTAGCGCTAGCTAGTGTCAGCACTGGGGCACTGTAGCGGGGTTGGCAGGGCCAGGACTGTGGGGCTGAGCCAGAGGTACCTGCTACAACTGCCACCTAACTGTGTCCCTCTCCTCTCCAGACTATGAAATCCCTGGAAAATTTTTGGTGACACCCACTGAGCCAACCATGGTGATGGACTGTATATTTAAGGAAAGGCATACACAGAAAAAATTAAAATGGAACTGGAGGCCGAACACTGCACAACTTGCCCTCTCAGCCAGTGAATGCAGAAAGCTCTTAGGACAGACAGAAAGCCTGCCACGGAGCTGCTTCCTCCCCTCCCAGGGCTGGCAAGAAGCTCCACATCACCGGCTCCTAGGATACCGAAAGAAACCATGGCAACGAAAGTAGAATGTAAAACTTCCAGCAAATGTCTGTGGGGAAGAACTGGGGGAGGGGACACCCCACTGTCTCTCTTCCCCCCCCCCCCAGGAGCCCACCAGTCACTTCACTGGAGAAGCCAGGCAGAGGCATGGGCCCAGGAACAGAGAGGAGAGAATTCCAGAGAACATAATTTAGAAATTCATACGTATGTATATATATCTATTTATATGTAAATAGACATATATGAAGATATATATATAAAGTCTTTTTAAGCTATGCAGGGATTGGGTTGAGATATTCAACTTATTTCTTCTATATTTTAGAAAATGACACTTGTTTGGGAAGGCAACCTGATTTTCAAAACCTAGACAGTAGCCATTTCAGAAAGTCAAGTTGGATGCTCTTAGTGTCATCCTTAGCCCCAGCCTGACTTTGATGACAGCAGTAATCATGGTGGTAAAAATCCATAGAAAACTTCCAAAGGTCTCCAGGCTTGCTTATGGTTAAGGTAGGGGAAGCAAGGTGTGGGTAGGGAAAGGTGCCCCTGAAGATAGCTGCTCAGTACTGAGCCATAGAGACCCCAGACAGGGCCTACTTGGATGAGGCCAGCTCCTCACGCTGCCTCCTCCTTGGCCAGCCTCAGGTGGGCTCTCTGCCCTAACACCCAGGAGCCCTGCATCCAGTCCCTTGCCCATACCTCTTCCCCACCCAAGTCCCCAGGTGGGTTTGCCTTACAGGTGCCATCGGGCACAGCTCCACCATTGCCAGCAGGTTTTCTCTAAGTTGTCCACCAAGGACTCCAGAAGGCTCTTCCTCCAAAAGTTGACCCAGGACCTGAATGCAGCCCAGCTTGTGAAGAGGAACCAGTGGTGTGGGTGCCTGGCTTCACCTCTGCAGTGGACTCCACCAGGCCTCTGCTTATTGGATGAATAATCCACCACAACCAGAATGGCTTTCTCCTCCAGATGAGGATTTTTCTCAAAACAGGCCATTGCTGCCAGGGGAAGGAGGGAGGTTTAATCTCCTCCCACGTTTATAATGGGCCTTTGGGAATTGCCATTTCCCCTGGTTTTCCTATGGTGGCGGGTGTGTCATTGTACCTGCCAACTTCCAAAGCCTTACTTCCCCAAGCTGCCAACCTAGAGGTGGTAACTGTGCCTCCACGGTGTTTTGTTTTCTCTCTCTCTCTTTTTAAAAATACAACCCCCTGACAAATAGAATTCTTGCTGGGAAAAGTTTGGTTAGGAATTGTCAAATCTGGTTGTTTTTTGTTTTGTTTTTGTGTTTTTAACAAAGTTCCACCCTGCAATGAAGTGGCCACCTTGGCCTAAAGAAACAATAAGAACTGGACAAAATCCCGAGTACCCCACCCACAGTGGCCCTGGTGCTCTGCCTCCCACCACCCCAACTGCCTGGTCCTGGAAGCTGTCCCTAGAGGGGCTGAGCCATGTGCAATAAGAACATAGATCCTGAAGGATCCCCTGACAAGCTGTATTTCTTGAATTAGAATTCTGATATTGTACATCTATAAATATATGTTTATTATGTGATTGGCAGTGGTGGGTCTACATTGAGCAGGGGATGGGGCAGGGAGCACCCACCACTTGCTGTTGACACCATCCAAGCCTGTGTCTCAGGAGCTCTCAGGCCTGACCCTCTTGACAAAGGGTCAAATAGCTGGGCCGCAGAATGTGGTGTCCACCTGCCCACTGCCCCTTGACACATTCTGTTTTCCCTGTCACTGGACTAGGCTGGAGCCCACTCCTGAACTGGAACATTGGGAGAATTCCCAAATGGGTCTTGCCATCTCTGACCTACAACCTCCTCTCCCTGAGAGATGGAGAAAGCTAACACTGAGGCAGCCTGGGGCTCTGGGTAAGCAAGCACTAGATCTGCCTGGCCTCCCTGAGACAGGGCCAACAGCAAGAGTGGCAAGCCCAGTTCCCTCCCACCAACAAGCCAGCCAAAGGCAGGCGCCTGGTGGTGCCACCGCAGCCCAGGAGCTCATTGGCTGTCCCCAGAAGGATCACCACAGCCTGCCCCTGGCCTGCAAGCTGCCACTTGTTAGCTGCACTTGGCAGAGGGGTAGCCAGCTTCCTGGCCCCCACCCTCCCTAACCAAACAGTTCTGTGGCCAGAAAGGGTGGGACACCATCCATCTGCAGCAAAAGAAGTTTGGAGCAGTATGCTCCTCCCACTGTCAGGTGGCAAGAAAAGTCTGGGACCTGCTGCTATCTCCTTGACCCGCCCTGCTCTGGTCCGGAGTAGGAGGGGCTCCATGGAACCAGGAACATACACTTGGCCCGATTTTTGCTAGACAGTCACGTCACCTGGCTGGCTGGCTGGGGTAGGTGTGCATAGTGCCAACATTTGATACTGGTTCAGATTCAGCTCAGAATTCCCTATCAGACCTCACACCACATTGCCCATTTCCCAGAGCTGGAAACAAACTTGCCAAAAGTCCAGTGACCCAACGGTCTTCCGGAAGCTGTGTGTTTGCATGTTTGGAGTCTAGCAAACAGTCTACAGTTACTGAAATCAAATTTACTGTGTTTGACATAATCATGTGGGTTTGGTTTGGGGTTTTTGCTTTTTTTAAGATTTATATGAGTACTCTACGGATCACATGCATGCCAGAAAAGGGCATCAGATCCCAGTATAGATGGTTGTGAGCCACCATGTGGTTGCTGGGAATTGAACTCGGAACCTCTGGAATAGTACACAGTGCTCTTAACCATTCTACAGCACCAATTGGTTTGGGGTTTTGTGGGATAGCCTCACTATATAACCCTGGCCTGGAGATCATTATGACCAAGTGGTCTTCAGTTTTCAGTAGTGAGCCTCCTGTTTCTGCCTCACAAGTGCCAGAAATTACAGGTAGAAACCAGGTATCTGGCATCTTCTAAGGATTTTGAGTTTCTTCTTTCTTTTTGAGACAGGGTTTTATGGAGGCCGGGCTGGCTTCAAACTTGTTATATACCAAAGGCTGGCCTTGAACTGATCCTCCTGCCTGTACATCCAGAGTGCTAGGATTAGGCATAAACCACAACTCCAGGCCAAACCCAGCCTTTCAAGTGCAGTGTTGCTGGCATGTAAGTTTAGGACAAGGTAAAAAAAAAAAAGCCTTGCTGGGAGAATGGACATCAGTGGGATTAGCATTGAAGCAGTTCTCTCCTCAAAATGGCATGGTTGTCCACTTGCTCCACCTGTGTCCCTTAGTTGGCATCAGCCCCAGAAGCAGCATTTTAAAAATGGTCATTAGTGTCAGTGTGGACTCATGCTCAAGCTTCCTTGGCTTGGGCATGCTACACGAGAGGGGTCTGGACACCGTGCCTATGGGGCTGTTGTATGGAGTAAGTTGGCTCATGAGCAGCACTTCACACAGTGTCTGGTCACAGCAGGCTCCATCCAAGCACTATTTGTCCTGTCAACAAAGATTACCTGACACTGATGTCAAGTCCTATTCTAGACACTGAAACTGCAGAGGTGACAGAGGAACACTGCTCTTGAGGAAATGAGGGAAGCAGAAGTGTGTCTGGCAGGGATACAGGCCTCTGTCTGGGGCCTCTGGGATAAGATGGTTGGTACTTTCACAGTGGAGAGATCCCAGACAGAGGGATGTGACAGAGGCCTGAAGATGATCAGGGACCAAGCAAGAAACATGGCTAGGGAACAGTATGTAGACCAGAGCCCCAATCTGTAGTTCTGTAATTATCACACTGGCCATTCACAGTAGTCTTGGACAGACGGGAAAAGGACTTCAATAAATAAAAGTCCCTGAGCATTCTTGCTCATTCTTGGTACCCTTCCAAGCCAGAGTCTGGGGGTGATTCTGTAAGGCAAAAGAGAAACCTATGGAAGGGAGGGTGGGACTAGGATACTGCTTCCCCTAAATGCAGTAATAGGATGTCCCCCAAGGACGGGGCCCAGATCTCTTTTCACTTCCACAGCCAGTTGAGCAGGAAACAAAGGCCCAGCACACAGGCCAGTCAGAGGCAGAAGACAGCTGTGTAGACTCAGCCAGGAAACCCTGCCAAGGGCCCAAAGTTAAGGTTTTGTTTATGGAAAGGGGTGTCTGGTGCCACACCCTGCCCACCCTGTCCTTCTGTCTAATCTGAGTTGGTCTAAATGAGGTCCCAAAGAAAGACAGGACTGGCTGTGGTAGTTCAGACACTGGGTAGGCTTTCCTTGGGAGAGGTGCCCCAGTGGAGTTATCACTGAGAGGGACAAGAGCCAGGCTTTGGGCCTTTGGGTACTCAGTAGGGTTCTCAGCACCAGTATCTTATATAATTGTTCACCTTTCTGTTGGGCATGGGTGAAAAAACACAAGGGACAGGTACCTGAACCAACAGGGATACTGAGGGTGTCAGCCAGGCCTTATTCCCCCCATTACTGACATCATCTAATTGCCCCAACCATGTCACTCCTTGTGATATTCTCCCAAGCTCCACATAGCCTACCTGCCTTGGCTTGCACACTGAAACCTCTGCAGCCTTCCCATCCTCTTGCCCACCTCCCTCTGTGTGCACCTTGGTGCTGCCCCTTCACCTGCAGCTCATGCTGAATACCCAGATGCTTCTCTCATTCTTCAGTGCTTAGGCCCCAGCCATCAGCTTGAGGGATTGACCCAGGAGTGTCTGCATACTTCCACAGCAGCATCTTCCTCACCTAGAATGGCAGATTGTGCGTCAGCCCTTCTGTTACTACACCATCGGCTGTGTGACTACACAGTGGGGTCCCCGGAAGAAGGCTGAGGAAGAAACAAGGCTGGAGGAAAAGGTACCTGGGCACAGAGACAGCTGTCTGCTAGTACTTGTGCCTCCCCATCTTCTTTGCCAAGAGCAACTGTGGGCCACTTTGCAGCCACAGACTCGGACCAAGGTGTGTCTCTCTAAAGCAAATGGCCCACTGGATGGTAAACCTCATACCAAGCACAGAGATTTTTCTCCCTTGCCTCGCCTGCTGAGGAAGCAGGATCCTACTGAAAGTGCCCCAAATTTCCTCTTCCTGAGAGATCTTCAGGACCAGGAGCCAACCTTGGAAGAGCAATAACCAGGGAGCGGCCACTGGCACCTGCACTGAGCCTATGCCAGGCACCTTTGTCTGGAATAAAAAATAGTTGTGTTCTTGGCTTCCCCAGTGCTAGCCTGGACACCTGTCTCCTGGTTATCTCTGGCATCATTACTACCTGCTGGCTACCATGCCCATGTCCCGTGCTCTAATGATGACACTCTGGACCTCAGTGTTTGTTACTAGCCACAACAGAGGGCTACCACCAGCACTGCAAGCACCACGCAGGGGGCAGTTATGTTCTATAGGGGGGCCTGTCTCCAAAGCACAGTGGACCTGTCTCTGCCAGGCACCTTTTCAGATCTGAAGCAATGTGTAAAAGTCCACATGGATTCGATGTCAAGGTCCAGTACCAGCAGGATCAGAAAGCACCTGTCACTGGTAGTGTTTGTAAAATTTTGTCATAATTACCCTCACCCTCCCATGGGCCTCCCCATTTATCGTCTAGACTACCACCCTCTGTCAGCCGCCAAGTCTGCAGGTGTTCAAGTTCCTGGGCGCAAAGTCTGACTTGGGTCCTCAGGGTCATCAGTCCAGGATCCCAAAGCCCAGAAGTCAGTTTTCAGGACCCTGAACCCAGCCTGCACCACCTCACTCACTCACTGCTGAAGCCGGCTAAGATCACAGCCCAAAGGATCAAATTGCATGCCCTACATCTGCCATTATGAATAGTGCCAGAGCCTGGCAGCCTGGGCCAAAGCAGCCAACGCTGAAACAATTCGAGGGACTATGGCCTTGGCTTTGCTTCTAACCAGGCTGCTAGGGGGAGGGTGGGGGGGCATGGGAAAGGTTGGGGCAGTGGGGTTGGGGTAGGGATAATAGGGGAGGGGGGAGGGGACCCTTTGGCCTCTTACAGCTTCTCATTTTGTGTCCTGAGCACCCAGGAGGATGGCCTGAAGATCAGATGTTACTCCAGGGTGCTGTTGTTACTCCTGGGTACAGTGCATGTACCCAGGCCTCTGGGACCCTGGGTGACCTGTGCAGTGTGTCTGATCTGATACCAGGCCTCCCCTACTGCTCCAGCCCTGCTACTTGGCATGTGTCAAGCTGTGATAAGCCTAAGTGATAAGCCTCCTCATCACTAGGAGTACAGTGTCCCTCCTTTCTTTCCCTGCCATCCCTTCCTATCCTGACTTTACATGATAGGTACTTGCAAGTGCCATCACCCCAGGGACAAACAAGGAAAACCTGAGCTGGGCCAGGTGCCCCAGACTGTTCCCCACCAAGAGGGTACCAGGGACAAGTTTCCCAGCTCAGCACCTAGGGGGCAGAACCCTGGAGTCCTTCTCTTGAGCTGCCAGATGTGGCTCTTGAAGATGCCACAGATTTTTGTTGCCTTATTGATAGTTTTGGTCCTGGAGATTCACTGAGGAACACAGGAGGCTGATGGGACATCTGCTTAGTAAGAGCTGAGGTTTTAGAACCGGAAGATCTCATCCGTGGGTAGAAGGTTCCAGAAACCCTGGAACCTTCCCGAAATGGAGAGAAAGACCATATCCTTACTTTTCAGGCATATGCAACAGAGTCCTAAAAGCAGCAGATTCTGTGGAGAGGGGTTCTCCGTTCCTCTCAAGGGCTTTGTGGAGTGGGACAACCTGGAGCTTCAGACTTGGTGACACTCCTCTTCCCTGCCTGTCCTTAGTACAATTAGAGCTCTGTATAAAAGAGTCCACTGATTAAAATAAACATTTAAACCAGCACTTGGGAGGCAGAGGCAGGTGGATCTCTGAGTTAGAGGTCAGCTTGGTCTACAGAGCAAGTTTCAAAACTTCCAGGATTACCCAGAGAAACTCTGTCTCAAAAACAAACAAACAAACAAACAAACAAAAAAAACAAACAGAATAACCCCAGCACTTGAGAGGCTGAGAGAGGAGAATTGACACAAGTTCAAAGCCAGCCTTGTCTACCTATATAAAAAGCTTCAAGCCAGGCAGTGGTGGCACATATCTTTGATCCTAGCACTCAGGGAGGCAGAAGCAGGAGGATCTCTGTGAGTTCAAGGCCAGCCTGGTCTACAAAGCGAGTCCAGGACAGCCAGGACTACACAGAGAAACCATGTCCCCAAAACAAAACAAAAATTTCAGGCCAGCAACAGATAGTGAGACTCTAGCTCAAAAATAAAACAGCAAAGACCTGACCTCACCTCACATTTGCCAGTGAGGAAACAAACCCTGAGAAGGGAGTTGCCAGGATCACCTGGCTCAGGTGTGTAAGAGTCACTGTCTGGGTCACCCAGCTCTGGACTAAGGAGAAAGAGCTTTGTCACCTTGTAAGTGACAAAGACAAAGAGGTGAGTTATTCCCATAAAGCCCACACCAGAGCCACAAGTCCCCAGCAGAGGGATTCCAGAGGGCCTCCTGAGTCAGGAGCCTTGGGGTCCAAAGAGAGAAGCTCAATCCTGGATACTCCTCTCCCCAATTCCTGGCACAGCACTGAGACACCAGAAAGCAGTTCCCCTAGGATCCAGCTAGCCTGGCACAAGCTTGTCATCAGGTCTTGCTATCCCCTGCCTCTCCCCCCACCAACAAAGACCCTCTACAGCCCCAGCTGAAGCTTCTGGAATCCTTCCATCCAGCCCTGCAAACAGGCCCACCCTGCCCTTCACTGGTTTAAACCAGTCCTGTCCTAGGTCCTGGAAAATAAATGGCAAAGGGAGCCCAGAAAAGGGCCTGTTTGGTCCCTGGCCTCCATCACAGTACAACTTTGCTTTCTGGCTGAGATGCTGGGCAGGGCACCCTATGGCTGCAGCAGCCAGAGCCTGCTGGGGGCCCATGAGGGTTGCAACTACCTGTCTGGGTTTGAGGTGAGTCATTTCCTCCCTCAGCTGGCAGAGGAAGGAGGGGAGGGGTGAGAGGGAAGACATTTAAAAATAGCCAGGCCCCAGACTAAGTAAGAGGAAGATGGCCAAAGAGTTTCCTGGGCAAGTTCGAGCTTCTGGTGGCACTGACACCAGCTGTGTCCACCCACCCGCCCAGACCCCTATCCTTCTGGCTTCATGTGGGCTGGGCATGAGGCCTTGAGAAGAAGACACAGGATGGAAAAGAGAGGAGCTTGAAGCAGGCAGAACTTCGAGGCTGGAGGTGTGCTTTCTAGCGCTCTGCCCCACCAACGCTGGCAGAAAGGGGCTTCCATCCCGAAGCTCCTTGGCAGCACCTCTTCCCCTCCCACCCACCCACCCACATGAACACACAGATTCAGTCCTCATCTCATCGCCTGCTTGAGTCATTGTCCCTCCTCAGAAGACCCGTCCTCCTCTAAGTGGACCTCCATTTCCCAGTCAGGACTGAGACGGAGATCAGCAGTGGGCTCCCTATCCCTACTTGAGCCACACTCTGGAAGCCATGGAAGTTATGCTTAGGACCATTTGCACAGGAGAGAAGCAAAGGCTCCCAGACCCTGTGGGGTAAACCATCTGACTCAGAGGATCTGGGTTCAAATCCTGTCCATGTGACCTTTGACAAATTGTTCCCTCTCTCCCTGCCTCCATTTGCCATCCACAGCAGCTCACTCATATACACTGACTCTCCAAATGCTGCAATTCCCAGAAAGCACATGTGAGGAGCTGGAAACCTTGGCATCAGATATAAAGTCCTAAAGATGTGAGGGCTCACTGACCCCTTCAAGAGCTTGTCTGAGGACAGGGTGAGGGAGTGAAGGGTGCTGAAGGAGCTGTTTTACAATAGCAACTGCTGTATAGCTCAGGCTGGCCTTGAACTCATGATCTTCTTGTCTCAGTTTTCACTCAGCAATCACTGGGATTGTGGGTCCTCCCTCCCTCCCTCCCTCCCTCCCTCCCTCCCTCCCTTCTGCCTTCTCAATAGGTGTTGCTGTTTTTACTCTACACGTGGAACACAGGCCCAAGACATGAACTGGTAACAGGATTCAGACTTGGGTCACATCTGAGAACAGCTCCCTCTGCATTACAGGGTCCAGGAAGAGGTCTGTTATGTCTAAAGTCGTCTGAGAGGGCACTAATCTCTGACTCTTTCTGCATTTGTTCCACCGACCTCAATGCCTGAGGACTGTGGAATAGGCCCTCTGTTTAGGAGGCTGCCCTTTTTCTGACCACCTCCCTCCTTCACTGCACCAGCTCTGGGAAACACCCAGGACCAAGATCCACCACCTCATTTTTCAGGCAACATCCTAACCTGGGAAACCATGGCCCCTCCCAACAGAGGTGGGCAGAACTAAGTAGTCATGGGCATACTTCCAGGCACAGAACTAAGGGTAGCAGCCCAAGTGAGCCCTGGCAATCACAGTCCTTGCCACAGGAAGCCTGTTGGGAATAGGGATTCTGGCATCTGCTGGGAACCATCCCCGTTTGCACGCACTAGGTTCCATGGAAAAACCCAAACCTTCCATCAGCTAGCCAGTCTGCTCTGCTAGAAGCCTCTTTCTGCTTCTCTGGCTTTCCCCTCCCGATATCTGACTCATCCCCAACAGTCCCAGGAGACAGGAGAGAGCAGACTTCCGGTCCCTGTTGCATAGATGCAGAGACAGGCAGGAAGGGGCTTACTGCAATGAGTCAGGGGCCATTGGGTGGCTGGCAGCCACCCAGGCAGACAGGTCACAGGTACAACCAAGGGAACTGGGGGATAATCCCCAGGCTGCCACTGCAGCTGAGCAGTCTTAATGCCTCACAGGAAATCTATAAGGAAGGAAGGATGAAAGAAAAGAAGGAAGGCACGCAGGCTAGCCAGTTAGCTTCAAGCCCTGGATCTGCAGATTGGGGAGATGCAGAAAATGTCAGGTCCGAAAGAAAGGGGGAACAAGCCTCACCTATGGCTGCTCTCACACTTCACGCCCTGCTCCCTACCCTAAACCTCTCCAGACCAGAGACTGAGCTGGCTTCTGTTCCCCCAAGCTTTCTGTTCCCATTGACCAGGCATTCTTTTGGTTCTCTTTTGACCTCTTTGTCCTTGGTTCCTCTCTTGGTCTGCTTCCCCTCCCTTCCCCTCCTCTCTTCTCTGTCTCTCTCTCCCTCTCCCCTTCTCTCTCTCACCTACCTCATGACCCAGTTTAGTCTGGATTCTTCCGAATGCCTCTGTACTCTCTCAACCATACCTAGGAGCAATAGCGTCCTCATTTTCGTTCAGAAAGCATGAGTATAAATCCAAAAGAGAAAATTGAGATGCCTAGCCTTGCCTCAGTGACAAAATGGGCAGCCGGGATCCTCACAGTTCACAGATGCTATCCCATCATGTATCGGGTAAGTCTTAGTGACTAATGAGCTTGACGCTTTAGCCACACTTTTTAAAATTTTGATTATTTATGATTATGTATTTTGTCTTCATGGATTGATGTCTGCAGAGGCCAGAAGAGGGCGTCAGATCCCTGGAACTAGAGTTACAGGCCATTGTGAGCTGCCATGTGGGTGCTGGGAATTGAACTGTGGGTCTCCGGAAGATCCTCCGGTGTTCTTAACTGCTGAGCCGTCTCTCCACTGTCTTATTTAAATCCCTACAACAACCCAGTAATGCTTCCATCATCCCTACTCAGCATATTTAGTCATCTGAGGCTCAGAAAGGTTAAGTAATTTATGTAAGGACACACAGCCTAGTCTTTGTTCCAACAGGCTTGAGACAACAAGAAAATCAAGAAGGGGCTTAGAACTGCTCTCCAAACAAGTGCCCTAGCACGTGCGCACCCACGTGGGGCTACCCAGGTGTGTCTGTGGCTTGGCACCCAGTCCCGTTGTGTCTGTCAGTGCTTGTGGGGGTGGAGGGACAGGAGCTGAACAGAACAACGGTTGCCTGGGGAACCGTCAGAAGGCCTGAACTCCGCGGAAGGGGGGCTTCAGACATGTGTGAGCACGTATCCCCCAAACTCACCCAGTGTGCTAAAGGTTCTGGGCATTCCCTAGCAGACCTTGGAAACCCAGGGTAGGGGACTGACAGCCGCTGCACCTACCCCCATCCATGCACCTACTCCCATTCTCCCACTCCCAGGAGCTTGCAGACACCCGGCAGCAGGTTTGCTTGCGATTGCCCCATCAGCCAAGTCTGTTCCTAGCCCTTCTGCACATTGCACACAGCGTGAGTTGTCGGGTTGTCCCGGGTCCCTCATCGTCCTTCTCAGCCTGAGTCCCCAGCGGCCCATTAACCAGGCGGCCAGCGCCTTCTACCAGACGCCTCTGATAGCTGCTGCCCTTTGCTCCTGCTGCCCAGCAGACAAATGAGGAAAATGGAGTAAGCCGGCAGCCAGGCAGGAAACAACGACCCTTTGTGTTTTTCAGCAGCTTTGAGGGGCAAGGTGAAAGGGGACGTGACTCCTGCGGGGATTTCTAAAGCTAAGGAGATGGGGCACCCCACCTTATCTGGGTGTAGCCTCCTGCCAGGTCTTCCTGCCTCCCAGGGCCAGGGCCAGGCACGTGGGGAGGACGGCGGTGGGGTGGGGTGGGGGGAAGCGGGACATGAGCTGAGGAGCTACACAAATTCTTGTTCGAATGGGTGTCCTCAAACTTCTCCAAACAGTATCGGGCGGCTAAATTTAGGGCTCAAAGGCTAACATTTGGTTTGAGATCTTACCTTTGCTGTAGATTTGCTGTTTTGCTTGGGCAGATCTCTTGACCTCTCTGGGCAGCATTTCTGTAAGTTCACACTAGGGCCTGCCCCAAAGCACAGTGCTGGGGATTATTAAATCTAGGCCCTCTTACATGCTAGGCATGGGCTCTGGAATGTCTGTCTTTAGCCTCGAGCTGTGGCTGAAAGACTGACAGGAGCACCTCTGCATCTCTTAGAGAGTCCAATCCAAGGATTCACCGCCTCTTTGTCTGCCTAGCCTCACCACCACCTGCACTCTTGCAGTTCTAAATAGTCTCAGGCTTCCTTATGCCTTCGCTCATGCTGTTCCCTTTGCCCAGAGTGCTTTTCCCTACATGCCTCATGCAACTGGCTTCTCATAGAGACTGCTTTTAAATATATATATATATATATATGTATATATACATATACATATACATATACATATATATATGTATATATACACACATATATATAGTGTTCTGCCCACACCTGTGCCTACACACCAGAAGAGGGCACCAGATCCCATTATAGGTGATTGTAAGTCACCATGTAGGTGCTGGGAATTGAATTCAGGTGCTCTTAACCTCTGAGCCATCTTTCCAACCCAGAGATTTCCTTTTTAATGTCACCATTGCAAAGAGGACGTTTCAAAAAAACTGGATTCAAGCAGGGGTCCTGGTTCCCACTCAAAGCTTCCTGCTCTTTCCCTCCAGAACCGCCATCTTGCCACTGGAAAGTCAAGGTGGTTTTTTTTCTGTCTACTATGTCCTCCTCAATGTGTCTGGGATGCAGTAAGAGCTCAGTGAACACCATGGAAAGAAGAGATCCGTGACTGGCTGATGTAAATCAGTTGCAGCTGGCCACCAGTATCGAGTGTCATAATGACGTTAAAGGGGCTGGGATGCAGCTCTTACGTGGCTGGCATGCACTGCAAACGAGCAACCAGTCAATCTCTAAAAAACAAGCAAAACAACAACAAACTTTCTCTGCTTGTATTTATTTGTGTGTATGTGTGTGTCCGTGTGTTCATGTGTCCATATGGTGAGGAGCACCACATGGTGGGGTGTGTGTGTGTGTGTGTGTGTGTGTGTGTGTGTGTGTAGAGGCCAGAGGTTGACAAGAGTCTTCCTCAGTCACTCTTCACCTTCTTCGAGACGAGGTTTCTCACTAGGACCTGAGGCTCAGCGATTAGGCGATTAGGACCTCCTCTGGCTGGCAGGGAGCTCCAGGGCTTTAGCTCACCCTGCCTTTCTAGCAGCAGGCCTACACACACATCAACTGTTTTTTTTTTTTGTTTTTGTTTTTTGTTTTTTGTTTTTTTTATGTGAGTTCTTCCATCCAACACCCATTCTCGTGGACATTTTACCAACTGAATCTTTTTTTTTTTTTTTTACAAGGTTTCATGTAGATTGTGCTGTCCTGGAATTTTTTAGTTAGCCAGAGCTAGCTTTTAAGTCCTCCTGCTTCTCTGGTCTCCAAGGATTGCACAGGTCTATACCACCATGCCTGGCTTGCATGTGTCTTAAACATAAGTCAAAGGACTTGCTGTCCAAAAGTCAAAAGCTATACCTCAGGGTTTAGAGCATTTGCCTTCTTGTAAAATACAATAAATAATAAAAGTAGATTTTAAAGCAATATGCTTTAAAATAAGACAGTACACATTAACCTAAACAATCCACTGTGGTAGAAATTTGCCTAGCATGCCCCAGACCCTAGGTGCTTACCCTGGTACCAAAGAAAGAAAAAAGCCTGGCATAGCAGGGCATATCTATAATCTCAGTACTCCAGAAGTAAGGCTGTCAGACCTCTGTGAGCTCAAGACCAGCCTGGACTACAGAGCGAGACAAGGGAATAGAGAAAGGACAGTTTCATAAGTGACTGTCCTCCAAGCAAGCAACTGCCACCTGGGGGCATTCAGCTGTACCCCCTTGCAAAAGATTATCCCAGCAGTACTTGTCAATGCTTTACATATACACCACAGAAGAATGGAGAGGACCAGTGGCCTCTCACCTGAATGTTCATGCTCTCTACCACCTGCTGTATGCAACTTTATCTTCATTGCATGAACCCTGAGAGAAGGGCCAGAGGAAGACTGGGGGTGGGGGTGGGTATGGAAACCTTTCATGTCATGGGTAAGGCTTTCTGAGTGTGGCCTTATAGGAGGAGCACCCACACCTCTGTAAGGAACCCTCACCTATGCTCTGTAAGGAAGCCAAATAAACTCTCATTGGCTCCCCAGAGTGAATTGGTGGAATTGTACCTCAGTTTGTCTTGGAACCTTAAAGGGAGGGATAGATGTTGCCTATCTGCCTCTGGGAAGGAATTTTAGCAACAAACAGCAAGCATGGTAACCCTAAGAGGACAGTTACAGATGTTGTCGAAGCCTGTTGTGTGCAGGAAACCTCCCTTAAGGACTGTCCCTTAGTGAGTTTCTTCTGGCCCAGGAGCTGCTTCCCAGCAAAGTGACTGTGTCACCAGAGTCTTCACCCAGTGTGGATGAAAGCACACAGCCAACAGTGAAGTGATGGCTGCCACTATGAACTATCACCTGAGCCCCCAGGGGACAGAAGCTGGCCTAGCACAAGGGTGGATCCAGCCGGCTCACACCTGGGCTGTGGACAAAGCCTGGGCTTGCATGCTCACCAGCTGTCTGTCCCACATGGCTCCCAGGAGACATGGAACAACTGGTTTAGACCAAGTGGGCCACGAAATAAAGGCTGTCAGGGCTCGAGGTCAGCTATCTGGGCTTCTCTTCCCTTGGGTGCAGTGCTTGCTGTTGGTTCAGAGGCAGAGGAGTGAAAGCCTCGAGCCTGCTGCTGTTTAGTTAGCATTTGAGGGCTAGGGAAGTAAATCAGTTACTAGTTCGCATCCACAGAGCGCTGGGTTTGATCCCTGGCACTGAATGAACTGGGCATGGTGGAACATGCCTGATCCTAGCTCTTGGGAGGTAGATGCAGGAGGATCAGAAGTTCAAGGGCATCCCTGGCTGCACAGTGAATTCAAAAGCCAGCTTGGGTGACATGAGACCCCTGTTTCAAACAAACAGGCTCAAAGTTAGCACACAGGGCAGCAAGCTTCACGGTGCATTCTCATCGCATGGCCTGCTAGAGCAGTCACTCACCTCATCCCAGTCTCTCTCCAACCCATCTCAGAATCTGTTTAGCCCATCTGGGAAGTGAAGAGTGATACTCAGTTCTGAAGTCACCTCGTTGCCAGTGGTGTCATGTGACCCTGCCCCTCTGTGCCTCAGTTTCCTCAGTAAATGAGACAGTGCATTGGAAGAGATTAGAGCCCATTGATACATGGTGTCTGTATTCTGTATGTTCTGGCTACTAACCCTGTGGCCAGAATAACAAACCCCCTCCTGCAGATCTGATGGGGTTCAATGCCCTAACATAGTTGGCTGTATGTTATGGTTAGTTGTCTTGCAGAAAATAAGGTAGGGGTACATCTGGACCTTGACCCTAAAGGTTCTGAGGTACTAGCATAATGATGCATAGATATCCTGGGTCCCCACAGCTCTGACTTTATGGGAGTTCATGGTGCTGAGTTCTCTAGCTGCCTCTAACTCATCTAGAGCAACTTCTAGGTAGTCTTTCCCAACAACTCTTCTGGCAACTGTCACCAGCAAAGGCACTGGGCAAAATGTCAACAGTGCTGCAAAATACGTTGGGACTTTATCTGACCCCTGGCTTCCATCCCAGCCAGAAATACATTGGCTGGAACTTATTGGCAAGCGGGAGCAAGCCTGGGGCTGGAGAAGGAAAACAGTTTGGGTCACTGGCTGCATATACTTCCCCCTTTTTACTAGTTAATGCTCTTGTTTCTTGTTTCGGTTTTTAAAACCTAAGGCTTCAGGCTGAGCCTAGGGCCTGGAGAGAAGGGAGGGAAAGAGCACCTCCCCTTTACCCAGGTTAATGCACCCACACACTCCTCCTGTTTTTGTGGACTCGCTGGTTTCTGCAGGCTGGGACAGTCTTGGGGCAGTGGTGCAGTAGTCTGGAACGCTGCAGAAAGGGCTCATGACCATGACAGCAGACAAGCTATACCAAGGTAGATAGGACCAGCTTCAAAGTAAAGAGCTTCTCAGTAAAGAGCAATCCTGCCTTCCCCGTCCTGTTGCTGCCTCTAGCAACTGCTACAGAGAGGTAGGTAAGTCTAGGAGGTCCTAGGCCAGTCTTAACAAGGCTTCCTGCCCAGTACTTCTAGAAAAAAGACACTGTCACAGAAGAGAAGGCCCAGGAGCACCCCACCCAAAACAGGAAAAAAAAAAAAAAAAAAAGCTGTGTCCTAAGTTTTAGTTCAGAAAAACAACAGCTATGGGAATTGGGCTGTATGGAACAGCACCTGCCTAGCTTGTGTGTGTGTGGGGGGGGGTCCCCAATGCTGCAATAATAATAATAAAACAGATAAATGAGTTAAACAAGAAAGACCTTGTGGAAGAAGGGAAACAGTGTATAACA